AAAAAAATTAAATAAAATTAAATAAAAGGTACGATCTCTATTTGATAGTATTAACCAATAACCACATCCTAACAAAATTAGAGTGAAAATTAAAGTATTATATAAAGAATTATGGGGGATACTATTGTATGCGGGTATGACGTCCTCTTAATTATTACTTTTTAATATTTATACATGGCTGGCTATTMAATAGAGATTTGATGTTGGTATTCATATCGAATTAAAAATCCGCAATTAATTTCTGATAGTYGTTCTYTGAGTTCAATACATAATGAATGTTTATAAAATTAATAATTAGTCAATTTTAAAATTATATATATTATCATCCCACTTACTGATCTATTTATAAGATATACTGATAAATAGTGTACGAGTAGAATGATCTATAGAGCGATATTATTTCACTCTTAATTTTTATTGTCAAAAAGTAGCCTTAATAAAATATGTATATCTAATTTAGTAGCACTATCCTGATTTTTAAATTTCTAAGTTAAATTTTTTTWAAATTAGAATTAAGACTTCACTTACTAAGGCAATTAATCTGGTACTGCCACTGGAAGGTGGTTTGCTGGTTGGAACACGTATTGTTTATGTGGTAAGGATTTGTTGCTAAAAATCTGGGTGGTCACTGGTCACCCATTCAGGAGCTAACAACACTAATAGCTAGTACGTACACTTAGAGCGTTTCTGCAGTTGAGCGTATGACCGCGTCACATCCCGCCACTTAGTTTAATTTATCTAAGAGATTTAATTTATATTACCTTTTATAATATAATATATTTATTAAATAATTTCAAGCAATTTCAATTAGGTACCCATGTGAAAGAAATATTATTAAATAAATAACATTATTATAGGTATTTGCGGTGCAGTAACCAAGATCGGAGCTCTCAACAATTTGACGAAATTTGATTCGACATTTTTCAATGTACATCCAAAACTGGCTGAAAGACTTGACCCACAAATACGTACTATGTTGGAGAGTACATACGAAGCATTTGTTGATGCTGGTAAGTATATAATATATATATATATATTTATTGTACATTACTAATATGGAATTCATAATAACCTGTTTAATTTGTTTCCAAAAAATCAAGACTAAATTAATATATTAACTCGACAGGTGTGAACCCGACATCTTTGAGAGGATCTAACACCGCAGTGGTAGTGGCGACAACRAACAACGATTATGCCGATTGGTGGTCTGCCGATCCCACCAGAGTAAACGGTTACGAGTTTTTGGGCTGTACCAGAACCATGTTCCCGAATCGTATTTCATACTCGTTCGATTTGAAAGGTAATAAAATGTAATAAAAATAGTAATAAGATGTTTATTTACATTTGTAAAATCGTATATAATTGTTGAGAATATAAMAAATTAATTAACCATGTATATAAACTCATTCAATCGTTTCTACCCGTACCTACAGTTACAATATAATATAAAATATGAATAATGATACACAGAATAACAAATTTATCTAACAGTTATTTTGAAGTTAAAAATATAAATATTAATTAAAATACTATATTTTGAATTCACGCATACTATAAATTCGCTTATCGATGATCGAACTAAAATTTTATTGATCGCGTGTTTCAATATTTATTCCTTTTGAAAAACATTAAATCAATAGAATATAATACACGTGACGAATGACGGTGAGAAACTCATTCWTATAGAGTGATTTTCTGCGCGGGATGTTTAAGGAGATATCGCTTAGCAAGAAAGTTTCGATCGCTTGTCGTGTAAGTATATTAAATACATTTGTCATACGCCTTTTCAGGGCCCAGCTATGCTGTTGATTCCGGATCTTCAGGTAGTCTGGTGGCTTTTGAACACGCATATAGAATGCTCAAGACCGGAGTGGTAGATGGTGTAGTGGTCGCCGGGTGTTCATTGCTGCTCAATCCCGTGCTGTCTGTCATGTTGCAAAAAATGAACAGTGTGTCACCAGACGGTAAAAGCAGGCCTTTTGACGCATCGGGTAAGTACTGACTTTTGTCTTTATTGTGTTCTAGCGTTTCCGTAAAATTCATATGATAAAARGTTAGGTAAACCTAATCTTGAAGCGTCTAATAAATAAATGTCAGGCTGTGAGGTTTTGGTATTTTATAAACACATAGGATTCAACACGACTTTCATCCATGATATCTGGAAAATCTATTGTTTATCAAACATATTTTAATGATTGGTGTTCCATAAAAAAATATTAATAATGTTTGAAATTTAAAAAAATCTATTGATCTATAAATATAATTCAAATCTTYATAAAAATGCTTTAGAAACTTGTATTATTGTACGTTTCACATTGAATATTACAATCTACCGATTTTGTCATGGTTATCATATTTTCAATAACCAATTTCAAATTTTTAATAGGATATATCAAATTGCATGAGCGCATAAACTCATAGGCCTAAGCTATAATAATGATAATTTTAATTAATATAATTATAATTAATATAATATATATTAATATGATGATCGTAATGTTTTAGGCCAAGGGACCGCCCGCAGYGACGCCGTCGTAATTGTGTACTTGCAGCGCGCCAAAAACGCCAAACGGGTGTATGCCACCGCAGTGAACGCGCGCACCAACACCGAAGGTTTTCGTTTAGAAGGAGCCATTTATCCGACCAATGTGCAACAAATCGAACTTTTTCGAGAAGTCTTAGACATCGCCAAAATCAGTCCGGCCGATGTCGACTACATCGAGAGCAGCGCCTGCGGCGACCAGGTATTTACTATAAAAAAATTTATGTTGGGTACCTAGTAATGTAACAACGTTGCTTTGTTTGCAACGCATTACATCATTCGTWAKAATTGTTTCCATGTATAGGTAACAAATTATAAGCTCGACAATATTATGGTCATTAACCAAATTAATTTTAACTTGTCACAGTTCAGTGTACAGTAAGTTTGAACCACATGTCTCTTTGTAAATTACAAAACAAGTTAATTAAATCAAATTTACTTTTAATTATATTTTAACAGAACGTTTTCTATGAATAGGTCTTGTAAACCGATGTTACATTTTTGTTTTCTGCGTATTAAAAAAAATATATTTTAATAGTTAAAAATTATTGATTGTTACATATTATATAAGTATAATAATTGTTAGGTAACAATTTATTGTCATTTGACTTAGTTTTCAAATTATAGTTACTTATAATATATTCCACTTGCGTTGCTTGTTGAAATTACGACAGTTAAATGAAATTTGAGAAATTATGCGAAAAAATAATAAATTTGTTCGCAACATAGTTATTTTTTTGATAAGTTTAGTAATTTCCATACAATTTTATTTGAGTAACGACTAACGAGTAAAGCAACTTCATTACTTTTAATTTAATTAACTTATCCAATACTGGCAGRTAATTACCCATATTTATATTWATATACATACTACCTACATATACCATATTCGCTACGCTTGGTTTTAAGGAATAGGAAATTAATTCTGTCATCATTCCAAAAAAATGCCCGGCTTTGAGTTATGTAAATTATATATTATTCATAAATTTGGCTTAAACGTGGTGCTAGTGGGTAGTGACACGCATATAGATTATTTTAATGGTATCARTGTGTGTGTACTGATAATATGGTTCAGTGGCATCGATACTAGTAAATCTCATTAGGACGGAGGTACTTGACATTTTTTTTTTCTTCATTACTTTCGAGTAGGTATAAAACTATTATAGCTCAACGAGTATGGTAAATTGTTTAATTTGAATATATAATAGTGAAATTAAAATAAACATAAATAGTTATTAGTGAATATGATATAATTGRGAATTAGACTAATGAGATAGAACTATGATGAACTATGAAAGGCAGTACGGCTGTAAAGAGAGAGATTAGAGAATTAATTAGTGAGGAAAGTTCTGAATTTAAATTTGGAAAAAATGTGATCATTAGTGGAACACTTGACATTCAAACACAAATTTTGTTTTTGTCTACATTTTAGTTGGGTGACGCCCAGGAACTCAACGCCGTCACCGAAGTATACTGCCAGGACCGCACCAAACCACTGTTGATCGGATCCGTTAAATCAAACATGGGGGACGGCGAACCAGCTTCCGGACTTTGCGGCGTTGTCAAAACCGTGTTGGCCATGGAACGTCAGGAAATCCCACCGACGCTCCATTACAATGTCCCAAACCCCCGAGTTCCGGCCTTGAAAGACGGTCGACTGCTTGTCGTTAGTGAATCTTTGACGTGGAATGGGCGGTATGCAGCTGTGAACGCGGTGGGTATTGGTGGACACAATGCTCACGCCTTGCTGAAAGCCAATGAGAAACAAAAGCAGCCACAGCCCGAGGATCCCATTCCTCGGCTGGTCATCGGGTCTGCGAGAACCAAAAGCGCGATTAATTACATGTTGGACAAGGTGAGATAAATGACTCGTTTTTTTTTTATTAAATGTTAACTAAGAATTAACTATTTATTTTTATTGAAAAAATGTTTGTGCTTATATTTTTATATTTCTATAGCGTATKTTATTATATTATATCATTTTTACGGGGAAATTATTTACCTAATATTGTATATTTGAACGTTATTTAGTAATGCTACAATTCACGAACCATGAATCAATAATTTTTCTTTATTACTAAATTTATGATTAAATTATTCTTCGTCATTGTAGATCGAAAGCATGCCTAGAGATCCTGAATATTACGGTCTATTATACGGCGTTCAGAGTCAAAATATTCCTGGTCACATTTACAGGGGGTATAGCATTCTTGGCGAGAACAGCCGTGAAGCAGTAGTGAGTACTTACATCATTATTAATATTATTTTGATTTCGCCGACAACTAATGTGGCTGGTTACGTATATTACGTTTTTTGTAAATAAAAAACCATTGATTTTGTCACTAGACCATTGGAGTAGGCAAACGTCAAGTGTGGTACGTCTTCTCTGGAATGGGAAGTCAATGGACAGGTATGGGCCGTGACCTGTTGGCTCTGCCGCCATTCCGTGTATCGATCGAAAAGTCCGCCAACACGTTGAAAAATCTCGGGTTGGATCTCTACGCCATTTTTAACTCAAATGACAAGACGGTTTTCGAYAACGTATTAAATTCGTTCGTAGGAATTGCTGCAATACAGGTACGGAAATTTTTGCAGTCCAATGTCATAGGTCCAAACACTATTTCGTCTAAAAACTTTTGTCCAAACTTCAATGCAATTATGTGAAAAGTACATCAAGGTTTATCTAAGTATCTATTTTAAATTCTCATTAGACCTTGATAGCAATAGAAGTTTACCTATTGCTACTTATTCATTTAAGAGTTGAGCAGATGAATAAATAATAATTTAGATAATGCTACTTCTTGAGAAAATTATAAATCTTCATTTATTTGAVAGCCGCCGCCTTGCAAATTATAATTCAGAGCAACCTATTTGRAGATTWAAAAAAAATTGAAACTACCATTTTACTGTTTTAATTGTATTTTAATAAAACCACTTTTCCAACTATGTAAAAATGCTATCAAAMCTAGAAAAGTTAGCTATCTGTATCACTACAAACTTCACGCTTTTACGATTCATATAATAGAAAAGGTAAATATATTTTAAATGGAAAAAAATAATTAGTCAATACTGATTGGATAGGTGCATTCCAGATGGATCCCATCCATTGTTTGTTGATTCTCAGACGATCTAAAAAGATTTCACAAATACGTAAATTCTCTAACGGCTCCGAATTCAACCACAAAATATCTTTATAACTTACTTGACATATAACATTTWAAAAAACACACATATTTTTAACCACGCTCCTTTTTAAATAGTCAACAAACAGAGAATAAAATGTTTTGTCAAAAAGGGAGCTGTTAAGTAATAGCTGTTTGTACAATGGAAAACGTTTGCATATCAACCTTTTTTGAAAAACAGAAGCCCTTTGAGAAAAATGGGAATTGGATAAAATTAATTGTAGTAGTAAAAAAAATAATATTGGACTAAATATCACGCTGAATAAAAATTATTATTGGACGAAATTACTGTTGGACTTAGTTCTCTGGATTTAACCGTCTATCAACCGGAATGAATTATATTGTAGTAATGCTAATACGAAGTGCGTGGGCAATATATATGTATTTATTTCTTTTTACTCAAGTATGATTTATATATTTATGTAATGTATGCCCTTCAATATATTTTATTGGTTACTATRTACTAACGGAAWTTGATACACTATATATTTTTCATAATAACTTGATGATTTATAATTAYAATTAAACGATTATTTTTTTCATTTAATAGATCGCGTTGGTAGATGTGCTCACCACTGTCGGTATCACGCCMGACGGAATCGTGGGGCACTCGGTCGGAGAGTTGGCCTGCGCATATGCCGATGGAACGTTGACAGCCGAACAGACCATTATTGTTGCCTACTGGAGAGGCCGCAGTCTCTTAGATCTGAACTTGCCACCCGGTGCAATGGCAGCAGTCGGTAAGTCATAACTCAATTGAAAAGTTTTATATTTTTGTTTAAATTATTTTTTTCAAACTGTAAACTGTAACTTTTAATTAATAATAATAAAAAAAAGACTAAAATCTAATTAATATTAATGTTTCAAACTGCAAATAATATGCAATACCTATATATATATATATATATAGTGCAAAAACAAATATTTTCATTTTTAATAATTTATTTGACTTTTGATTCATGATGATTATTATTAGAATTCGGATAATTTTTTTCTTTTATGAATGTTGATCTTAGKCAGGCCYCTATATCATATTTTCGGCTCTGGTACAGAACTAAATTAGGGCCTTGAACATTTTGCTAATATGTATATTGGAGTAATTTTGAAGTAATTATTTACATGAACGTCGGGCCCCAGTGCCATCGGTCCTTCTGATTCCCTCTTTTGTGGTCCCTTTTCCTAGTAATAATTTGACTCTTATTTCCGGAAGCAAATTATTCTTAAATTATARCCCTTGACAACCATTTTCGATAAAAAAAATGATACGTATTTAGTAATTATAGGCATACTGCCTTTGACTAGAAAAATAATTTAAGAAATTGAATAAAAATAATACTAACATAATTTCATTTTAAGTATTATTTTAACAGTTTTTTAATAATTTATAATTTTATTAAAAAAAATTAACATTGCATTTATGCATTTTTAAACATTTTGAGTTGAAGTTTTTGTATATTCTGTTGGTTTTTAATGCATTAAAGTATATATAAATATCTGTTTTATAGAGCACATATTTCAAATCATTGTTGTATTTCAAGTTTCAATTTTTTAATTGATATATTTCGTTAATTTTAAGGTTTGTCTTGGGAGGAGGCCAATGCTCGAGTTCCTTCCGACATCGCCGTGGCTTGCCATAACAGTGAAGACGGTGTCACGATTTCCGGGCCACCAGACTCAATCGCACAATTTGTGGAACAATTAAAATCTGAAGGCGTGTTTGCAAGAGAAGTAAACAGTTCTGGAATCGCATTCCATTCATGGTACATCGCTGCAGCGGGACCGGTATTCAAGAAGAAAGTCGCTGGCGTACGTTAAATTATAGTTTTAATTACAAAAAAAAAACCATTATGAAAGAATTAAATAATTTACACAAATGCAAATAAAATATAGATCATATCAAACCCGAAAATGAGGTCATCTAAATGGATCAGTACGTCTATTCCGGAATCCAGGTGGCACGAACCGTTGGCGCAATTTTCGTCAGTGGCATACCACGTAAACAACCTGGTATCTCCGGTTTTGTTCAATGTGAGTGTAAAAATCACGAAAATCAAAATCATATTGATTGCTCTGTTTTATTTTGTTTGTTTTTTTTTTTTAAATACGTTTCAGAGTGCATTAAAACACGTACCTGACAACTCTGTGGTCATCGAAATCGCACCACATGCATTACTCCAAGCAATACTGAAACCAAGCGTTGGCTCCAAATGTACGCACGTAGGTCTGGTGCGAAGAAATCACTCGACGGTAGTGAATTTGTTGTCTAGCATTGGAAATCTGTTCAACGCCGGTCTACAGCCAAAAATAGAAAACCTCTACCCGCCAATCAGCTATCCCGTGTCTAGGGGCACACCATCGCTGCAACCATTAGTCGAATGGGATCATTCTGACGATTGGGATGTGATTACTTTTATTGAAAACGAAGTCACGTCGTCTGGCGAAGTCAAACTAGAAGTGGACACTGAAAACGACACATACAACCACCTAAGAGGCACCTACATTGATGGTGTCGAATCCCTTCCATACGCATCATACCTCGTAAGTTTGATGCAAAGTATTTATTTCGACGAAACTTTAAAACTTTTATACAATTCTAATTCATGACGAAAATGTCTTTGATGTTTGTAATTTAATTCAAAATCAATACAATTAATATTTATATATTATAACCGTATTAATATTATGTTAACATACGCAATAGGCAGATGTAAAAAAAAACCACGTTGTTTTGTCATATGAAAGAACAAAACTGTATTATTTTCCTTTTTTCGAATTCAAGTATAAAAAATATATATCAATCATGTATAAAATATGTTATGATCCTCACAACAAATATTGAACGATTTACATTTTTTAGACATTCGTGTGGAACGCTCTAGCTAAATTGCAGCTGTCATCTGTTGACAAACTCCCAGTTGTTTTTGATAATGTTCAATTCTTCAAAACATTGCCTATCCCAGAAAGTGGTAAGTTGATTATAAATAAACATTTTTAATATTAATTGATTGATAAAGTATAGTTTTTAAAATTTTTTTTAGGAAAATTCAGTTTCATCATTAACATTTTGGCTGGTAGTGGAGAATTTGAAATTCGTGAGAATGAATCCGTTGTAGCGTCAGGTTTCATTCATATCCAAAAATYCGACGAACAGATTCAATTGCCAGAGCTTAAATCATACGAAGTAGATCAGTTATCTACTGCTGATGTTTATCAAGAACTTATATGCAAAGGTTATAAGTACAACAAAAGCTTCCAGAGCATCAACTTGGCTAGTAACAATGGTATATTGATTATAATAATATTTATTAATTCACTTATTTGTACAATTATTGGAATATGATGTTAATTAATAATTATAATTGTTGTTTTTGTAGGTAATTGTGGACGTATCGCTTTTGATGGGAAGTGGGCACCATTTTTAGAATCGTTGTTGCAACTTCACCTATTAAAACTCGACACTAGAGATCACTACGCCATTAAATACTTATTCAAATTGAGCATTTATCCAGATAAACAACAAAAATCTGTGGTTTCTAATAGTAATATTATCAATTTACCTTATTATCACTTTCAATGCATCACTTCAAAATGTCATAATCTGAGTTTGTTTATCAACAGGCGCGTCGTTTAGTGTTTATGAAAACATTGGCGTAATTAAATCCGCTGGAGTTGAAATTAGAGACATCAGGTCGACATTGGTCCCCATCCGAAAAGAATTACAACAACATTTTGATTTGGAATCGTATATATTTTTGCCATTCATGTTGGACGAAGTACGTAAACTATTAAAAAAAATATTTTCGTTTCAGCCATAATGTGTTTAAAATCATTTATAATTAATCTTTTTATACGTTTTATTAGCCTGTTAGTGAACCACTCAAGAATATCGTACAAATTGTATTGGAAAACGCTTACGAACCTTTTGATGTGTCAGAAGTAATTACTTCAGTACAACAAGAAATTTTAGTTCCGCAAATTTTAAATTTGGTCAACACAAAATCTTCATTCAATGTGAGTGTGACTTACTGATATAATATTATAATTCACGAATTTTTTTTTTGAAAAATTAGTAATATAATATAATAACGAAATCGTGTATACTAAATACTGTTGTAGATCAACGCTAATGTGTATGCTAAAGACATAAGCCAATATCAATCCCAGAAATTCATTTCTTACTATGAACAAGACTTGACATCCAGTGCTTTGGAAAAACCATCATTCTTTGTTGTAACAAACGGTGCCATTGGCAACAAACAACTACTGAACAATATACTATCGGGTGTCGAAAACAGAGGTTTCTTGCTCACCGTAGAACGTCAATTTGATTCAAAATTCAGACAAGTAGGAGTTGACGTAATTGCTAAGTACTCAGACGGTCAAAATGTATACATTTTGTTAAAAAAGGTAATTTTGTGTATTCGTGTATTGATTTTTATTGAAAAGTACATTTAAACTATATTTCTTTTAAAATTTAATTTTAGAACATCGATGTGCCCACTCCAATTACAGTATCTGTTGGAAATTCATTCTCCTGGGTTGAATCATTRAAACAGAAAATTCAAAACGTTAACAATGACAATCGAGATATTTTTTTGATCAGTCAAAACTTGGAAAACACTGGAGTGATTGGATTGACAAAGGGTTTGAGACAAGAACCAAATGGAAAATTTGTCAAGTATTTCGAAATTTTACGTTAATAATAATTTAAACAATTAATTTTTCATATCTCTCAATAAACAAAATGTTTTGCTTATATATTTATATTATCATTTCATTATTAGATGTGTGTCAATTAAAGATAACAAGGCGCCCTTGTTCTCCGTATCAACTCTAGTATATCAAGAACAACTCAAGAAAGGATTGGCCGTCAATATGTTTTTGGGCGGTGTTTGGGGTACGTGCATGTTCGCCCCGTACAAACAAGCTAAAGTCCAGGTAGAACACGCTTACATAAACACCACAAAATCTGGCGATGTCAACAGTTTACAATACATAGAAGGGAAACTATCAACTTTCAAGTGAGTTTTTATAATATATCATATTTTGTAAAGGTTTTGTTATTATTTTACATTTGATTTTTTTCATATTTTCGTATTCGAAAAATAACCACACTTACAAAATACCTACATAAATTAGTGTAATGGTGTTATTAGTTAACTTTTTAAAAGTATTTATATAAATACTTATGATTTTTTTAGATTTAATACCCACCAATTAGTACAAACATAATTATATCTTAATGTATAATGTTTATTACTTTAATTGAAACAAGTATATTTTTATATACCTAATCAATATACTTTTACTTCAAATAATTATACAATATACATACCATGTACCTACTTAACATATTAGAAATTAGAAATTTATATTAAAATTTCATAGAAATATTCGTTGTTTGATTTTCTAAAAAAAATTTCAAAATTATTTGAGTATTCATTTTTTAAATTATTTATAATAAGTACTTAAAGAAAAAAATTTTCCTCAGTATTTAACAACTAATAAGTAATATTTTGTTTATAATCAGCCCTAAAGAATATCCAGATTATGATCTATATTACCCGTACTACGTTCCACTTAATGGTTTGGATGTTAAAATGGTAAACGGCACCATTCCGTGTAACGGAATTTCTGGAGATATAGCGCAACAAGTAAGAAACTACATTGTAATAACTATTCATTACTTAATCTTGTATAAACAATATGCATACATATATATCACCGGTTGAAGATCTAAACTTTATGATGCTAAAATTACTAAAAAAATTTAGGGTAGCTACCTTGGTATGGAATTTGCTGGACGCTGTGCTAACGGTAAAAGAATAATCGGTTTAGTACCCGGTGGAGCTTTGGCCACTTCAGTTCTAGCACATAAAGATCTCGTCTGGTCTGTGCCTGATGAGTGGTCTCTGGAAGAAGCTTGTACTGTGCCGAGGACTTACAGCCTAGTAAGTATTATTGCAATGTTTTTCGTTTATTATTATTATTATTAAAATTTTTATCGCGTTGTCTGTATCATTTTTATATTTGTTGAGGCTTACTATGCGCTTGTGGTGCGGGGAAACGTCCAACCAGGTGAATTCGTGTACGTGCACGCMGGCGCTAGTGGAATAAGCATTGCTGCCATCGCTGTGATTCTCGAATTAGGAGCCACCCCGTATGTAGGAGTATTCAACAAGGAGCAAATAGTGTTCTTGAAAACACGATTCCCGCAAGTATGTCTTTAAGGTTATTAGTAATAGGATACGTAATAACTTACTCGTATTACGAGTACTTTAAAGTACTAAACTGTATGGTTTTCAGTGCTAGATCTTGGTAGGGTAGACACCGGTGCTCCTGGATAACGGTTATGTACTTATAAAAGGGTACCACAAAGTTTACTAAATTAAATATTAAAGTGGATTCAAGAAAAAAAAATTGTATTTATGAATTTAATATTATTTTTAAATTGTATACTTGTTCGCATATCGTAAATGTGTAGATAATTAAAATGTCGTAATTTTTTTATCGTTTGAAATATGGCACCTAAATACTCTAAATCTRTAATTGACTTTGTTGTGTTTTTATTACCATTGCTATTTTCTGATCATACAGCTGAACGATGACAGTTTTGCTGATCTGGCTAATGGTGGATTTGAGCAACATCTACTGGAGCAGACCCAAGGCCAGGGGGTTGATCTGATATTCGATACGTATTCCGCAATCGACAAGCGCCAAGAGTTCGTTAACTCTTTGTCCGAGTACGGTCGCCTCGTGGACTTTGAAGTGTTCGCACCAGTGTCTGATTCATTAGGGGTGTCCGGAAACTTGAAGAGTATAACGTATAGCAAGATCTCGTTTAGCACCATTCACTTTTCACCATCAGAAATAAAATATATACAAAGACTTGTTAGTCAAGGTATCCGGAATAAGAAAGTACAACCACTGGCAACCACTGTTTTCCCAGCAAGCCAGGTAGTCGATGCGTTTAAGTACAATGCTAGTTGTGCCGCCAACTTAGGAAGGACTGTAGTTGAAATCCGCAAAGAGGAAGATAAGGTGAACGCAGTTCCGGTCAAGATAACCGTCGCTGCGTGCCCGAAATTTTTCTATTCCTCTGAAAAAACGTTCGTCATTAGCGGTGAGTTTTCGACCATTCTTATGGGTATTTTATTTTAAAAGTAGGAGGAAAACAACATTTTCATTTTAAACACTTTCCGTTATCATTTTCGTCGTTGTAGGAGATGAAGAAAGTTTAAGCTTGGAATTGATTCAACATCTAGCAAATAGAGGTGCTCGCAAATTTGTTTTAGTATCGAAAATGAACAACAAACCACAGTCCGGCTTTAAGACGTTGACATTGAGACGGTTGAAGAGCAAAAACGTGACCGTAGTCCTGTCGTTTTCAGACCCATCGACAGTGAGAGGTGCTGAAGACATATTAAGAGAAGCGGTAGCTCTTGGTACGGTGTCTGGTATTTATCACATAACCACCGTAAGTACTTTTTGAATTTATGTTACCCGAAAATATCACGATTTAAACGTTATGTCTCGCGTACGTGAACAGGCTCCGGAAACCAAACACTTGCAATCGCTGAGCGAAAACGATTTTACATCGACGAAAAAGGCCGTATCTGAAGTAGTTGCCAATCTRGACACACTGAGCAGAAAGTTGATTCCCAGTGTAGAATCGTTCGTTGTGCTCGCTCCGGCTGTCGCGTCACGTGGAGCTAAAGCCAAGTCCAACTACGTTTTTGCGAATGCGGACGTGTTCAGGATCTCTGAAGTTCGCAAAATTTCTAGCTACCCCGCAGTGAGTACCTATTGACATTTTTTTCCGTCATCATTTTGATATTATCTATTTGAAAAATTACTTTTACGATTTACAAACACTACGTTATTGTTTTCAGGTGGTCATAGAATACGGCGCAATCGATGGATGTTCGGACACGTTCAACAGTCCAAATTTCAAACCGTCGTCGATTGTTTCGGCGCTAAGCATCCTGGACGAAGTCATCAAACAGCCACAGAACCCGACTGTCGTGTCGTACACGAAATTCAGCGGTCCGAATAATGACGATACAGATGCAGCGACTCCACTGTTGTTGACAATTGCCAAGATTTTTGGTAATATTTTAGGGATTGTTTGAAGAGCTTTTAAACTTAAAGTAATTAGAGTGGTACCACTGAAATATTTTAATGCATTTTATTTGGAATCTAGACATRRTGTATAAAACGCCTGATAGCTAAATGTGTAGAGAAAATTATTTATTTATTTAAAATAATTTTAAGTAGGTATTAATAATTTTTTGTATGGTTCAGTTAGGTAATAACTGATGTTAATACGTGGTAYTAAAGTCAGATATCACGAGTTGAACTTGAAACTGTAGGATATCAGAATTATATTAMCATTTAGTTCAGAGCCCTACTATTTTATTAAAAACTTAGAAAGTAATCTATCTCGGTGCTAACCATAATCCTATTACTTTTATCGATCATCTACCTTGAACMGTATATTATAATATTATTATATCACATAATTTATATTGTGTTTCGTCAACAGGCTACAAGGCTCTATCCAAAATCGAACAGACGTTCAATCTCGCTCAGCTCGGCCTGGACACGTTTCTCGCTCCACGCGTCCAAGAAGCCATACGGCAACAAACCAATGTGGTCGTGGAAATCGAAGAACTGAGAAAAATGACATTCCCGRATCTYCGAGCAAAGATCATCGATTTACTTGCTTRAAATACAGTGCATTTATCATTACACYGTTGTTAGACTTCATTGTTATTAATTGTATTTTATTTCAACGAGCACGTGTAATGCTGTAAAMTTTWMAATAAACCAAATGCAAAATAGTAATAGAAATTACGTTGTTTTTAATACCGTTTTGATTATTTTACTTTCAGTCCAATTACGTGCGGGTGTTTCAAACTACAGATTAACCGCGTTATCATTCATTTTCATTATATCAAAACAACTCATAATATCAATAATAGGTACCTATCATATAGTTCATATTTCTTCAACAATTGTTACATGCTTGATTCAAGATTTTTCTGYAGTCTATTTTTCAAAATAAATATAAACACATTAACTAAAATTATTAAGGATTAAATAAATATGACTTGTTATTTTTTAATTTTCCCTAACAAGACTTATGAGAAACTCTGTCACTTTGAATTTAACTTTCAAGTTTTTAACTG